TATATTTATATATATATTTTTATGTTATTTTGAAATAATGTGGTTGACAAAAGAAAGGTAATTTTTTTTTTTTTACATGAACAATTTTTTTACAAGGAAAAAAATGCTCTCTTTAAAAATTTTTAAATTTAACTATTTGTTAAAATTATGTTGCTGTTTAAAAAAAAGTTAAAATAAAAAAGTTAAAATTTTGTTGAAAGATTGGTTTTAAAATTACATGTTTCTAAGTCAAGAGTTCATTTTAAACACAGTACAGTACTATTTGTATATCAAAGATTACTGTTTGTTGATTTTAAGCTACCTTGTATTTACTAGATTTACATACACGTAATAATGATAAATGATGATAAAATAAAAAGCTCATATTTCATTTGTAAATTGTTTATTTTTTCATTACATTGAAGTTGTGGATTCTATCAAGCATTTTTCTGCAGGATGTATGTACTGTATTTTTTTAATGTGACAGTCTTTGAAACATATCAACTGTGCAAAAAGAGGGATAGTTGTAGTTATTGTTCACAGTAAATAAAATGCTTTATTATGTTGATATTCCACACCATAAGAAATGTTAGGGTCAGGGAAAGTTGGGGAATTCAAAACAAAAATGTGAGTATGAACCCTGTATAAAGTTGACAGTTTCTTCTATCTTGTAGTCCAAATTTCATCATTATACTTCTATCCTGGCAAGAATATATAAAATATTTGTTACTTTTTTATTCATGCAATTGATTGTGAAATTTAGTTCTATTCAGTTAAATTTTTTCAGTTACATTAGTTGGAAATATTCTTTTTTATTTGTATTTAATAATAGTTTTGTTTATATTTATTTATGTTGATTGAGCCTGGGTATCAATCAGCATAAATAAATGTTTGATTGCTTTTTAAATCTCTGCATTAAAACCTTCTGGGACCTGAGGGGTTCAAATAGATACTTTTTCCCCAAATGAATCTGTAACTCACCATGCAAAATGTATAATGATAGTCTAAGCAACAACATAAAAAAGGATATACTTAGAACATCAAAAGTTTTAGCAAAGCTGTAACTATCAAAAATTGAGTTCTATAAAGGTTAACAAGAACCCATTAAATGAATAAAAGTACAAGCTGCCTCTCTAAAGTATCAAAATCAGAAGCTCAACCAATGAGTAAGTTTTTTGATACTTCTTATGAAGAGACAAGCATGGAGGCAACACAAGCATCACCACCTCCAAAACAAAATGCTCCTATAAAATTAAAGAAGGATCATTACCAAAACTGCTCCCTTAAAATAATCCATAGAACTGTTGAGGTTTCGAAACAATCTCTCTTTGTTAAACAGATGTTATTATCTATTCCAGCTCTGTGTGATACTCCAGAAAATACATTTGAAACCTGGAAAAATAGTGTCAATAAAGGGATTAGATTCCATCACAAGGATGATGAAAGCCATAACCATGTTAGTTGGGGGTATGGCTAAACTGATTTCAAACAACATACCATACTTTCCAGTACAAATAACCACAGACTTACTAACAGTGGTAGCAGTAGAATTTCATTTAGCTTAACTGTAACCATTTTTTTCTATATATCTGCCATCAGATGTCAGAATAAATCAGAATGCCTTGATTGAACAGCTACCAACTTTTTCTTCCTACTTGGAAATTTCAATGGCCACAATCCAATATGAGGAAGCCCCAATATTAATTGTTTAGATATAGAAAGACCTATAGTTACAGGTCTTTCAGTGGCTCTATACTTAAGTATATACATAGATCATATACTTAATCTTTCAGTAAGCATTGTTTTCAATTTTGTGGTTTCATGACTTTTTTATAATCAATTGTTTTTCTAACAATCTTTTTTATCTGTATTTAATCTGATTTCCTGAAACTAGTTGAAGGTATATGTTCAGATGTTTCAGCTACAGGTAATATAGATACTTGAACAATGAAGCAAAAGCACTAGGCTTAGGTTGGTGAGTTAAGGATGCTATTGTATTTGTCTTTAAATTCAAAGTAGTTTTTTCATTTTATTGTAACTCACAATTCATTGCATCATCATTATGAATATTGTTGCTTCTTGATTATTTGTTATGGAACTGTACATTGATGTGGATGGTGGTTGTGGTATTACAAAATCTGTAACAGACCTGCCTTATTTGGCTGATTCCTGCCTTTCTGCTTTTTGTTGCTCTTTGCATTTCACTGATCCAGATTTATGCTTTTTCTTTTCCATTCTGGTAGGAATAGGGTTACTGAAATAAAAACTTATTAAAAATACTCCATGTTGGGAAAAATAAACATCTTTAATTAAATACTGAATCTAGCATTTGCCATAAGTTGCTATTTGTACATTTGCATTTAATAATAAGTTATTTTTGTTGTTTTGCTGTATTCTGCATTTTGTTTGTAAACTGTAATAGTTGTATTATAGAAAATTTCTGCAGTGTAGTAGTGACATCCATTGTGTATTTCTGCTAGAAATACATAATGAAGGAAAACATCAATAGAAATATGTTTTATAGATGCATCTATTACTGTATTAACAAATCACAGTAATTTTAACTGTAGAGTAAATAAAAGGTATCTTTATTTATTGAACTTGCATTATGCATGTACATTATTATTTGAGATTGTAGCTTAATCTGTCCCATGTTGTTCCCAAATATTTTCGTGTTGACCTCACTTGACCTAACCCGTTGACCCCAAACTTACTCTTTCCTGCATCAAAACGTTTTTGATATTAGATGTCACTGTGCATCATAATTTTTATATTAAAACAAACTTTCAAAATATAATTTTTTTTTTGTTTTTATATTTTTCAATATATTTATTAACAAGTAATTTGCATACCAAGTAAAACAAATTGTAAAAACATATTTGACTCACTTAATGAGCAACATTTCACATAACAAGTGATGATGAGGTGGGAAGTCCCAGATTGTGCACATGCTACATCAGTCTGTGTTTAGCACTTGTTTCACTAGCATCTTAGTGTCACTTATGATCATACATTTTTCCAAACTTGTGTTCACACATATTACATATAAGCATCAACAACATATCCTGTTATATAATAAACATGCCAAACAATGTACCAAATTCTTGGGCTATGTAAAGACTATAATTAACTATTAGAAATTACTGTATTTTTATCATTGATTTTAAATTTTATACATTTTACTTTTGTATTTTGAAAGTAAAAATAATCAATAATAAATATTAAATTAGTAATTTGTAGCAATAAAAAGTAAGCTTGAGTAAGTCTGACTTCATAGCAAGACCTCCATGCAGTTACAATCAGATTTAAAGCAATCTTTTAATCTAAAAAATTTTTAAGTTAATTTATTAGTTTAGTGTTGCAGACAAATTGTAGGCTATGCTAGACCAATTTAATTTGGATTTTCCAAACTATGTAATAATAATTATTAATTTGTTCATAAAATTTTTTATTTTGTTTGTAAATGTATAATAATTTTCAGGGAAATTTTCAGTCCTGAAAATATTCTGCAGCTCTGCTTGACATTATATGATAATTATTTAATATACAAACTTAATATATGATTTATTATTGTAAATATTTTTTCATCTAATTTTTTTTTTTTTTTGGTAGAAAACCACCAACATTCAAGACAATATTTCAAAAAAATATTTTCCTATTTTGCCATTTAAAATAGTACTCATGCAAGTTATTGATGTTTTGAAAACATTACCTGTCTCTCTGGATGGCGAGAGAAAAAGTGAAAATAAATTTACTGTGAGACCTGGTTCATTTCACAATTATTTTCAGACTTGGCATCTAGTAAGTAGAATTTAAATCAAATATTTTTTTTAATTTGGAAATTTTGGTATTCTTTTTATAATTTATCAAAAAAATTATTACACTTATTCACAAAAAAAAAGTTATGTATCAAGGAGGCATGGAATCAAATGAAACTTTATTATTGTTAATGTAATGACATTGATAATAACTGATTACACTAAAGTAACGAAGAGATAATTTCCTGCATAACACCAATACAATCAATTTAAAGAAACTTTCATATTTTGTAAGACCTTACCTTATGGTGATATGGTTGGGTGATATGCTATCCTGCAACAGATTTATTCATGATGCTACAACCAATGGTGATGAAATTCCAGGCTACAGCAAATCACCAACTGGTTTGAGATACAGTAGACCCCCCTATAACGCTTAGATACGTTCCACGTTAATCGAATTTTACGTTGTAGGAATGATTAAATACATGAGCCAATCGCAGCCCGATAGGTGTGAAGTTTACGGACTAGGCTGTTTGAAAGGTTTTCTTCTATAAAATTAACCGATTCTAGACTAATTCCACTCAACATTTCCAAAACACGTATAATTTTTTGGGAATAATCTGTATAAACTATGCTATAAACAAAATATTATAGGATTACTTACCGAGTGTGCACCGTTCGACTACGCTGTTGCTCAAAGCTTGTTTTCATCGTGGAACAGCACACGAAACGGTGGCCGCGATTTCTGATAACGAATTTTTCGCAGAAAAATAACTTGACCTTTGGAGACATCATTAATATAAATAATTTTTATGGCCGTTGAATAAGAAATGTTTCTTTCACAAGAAATGTATAAAATTAGTGCTAGTATGTAAATTACGGTACCTAATTTACATACTGTACAGACGATAATAAACTCAACTTACTAGCCTAAAATCTCCATAGTGTGGCGCCAGGCGGCAGAAAGCATATATATATATCAGGTCAGTCCATAAGTTCGTGCGCATTTTTATCTACAAAAAAAGCAACAAAAAATTTCAACTAAATTTTATTTCAATCTATAATGTATTCACCATTATTTTGTACAATTTCATGCCATCTTGATGGTAGCTTTTTAATCNCTCACAGTGACAGATCCAGACTGTAGGCCATGTAATCCAGAATTTCTCAACTAAGTCAGTTGGTCATCACTACCATCATGCACGGGGCTTTATTTTGATATCAGTCAAGAACTTCTATTGATTTGGAGACAAAACAATAGAAGTATCAACATATGGAGGGAAATATCTAGAGAAAAACATAAATTGGGACAATGTTACATTGCCATTACTTAAATTCTGGACAGAAGTTGAACCACTCTCTTATTATTTTAATGCCTGCTACAAGAGAAAATTTGACAGATATTTTTTTGTCTGTGTGTTGGGAAAAGATATACTAAATATTTGTTTATAGTCGTCGTAATGTTTTTAATAAATTAATGTATCTCATTTGAATTTAATTTATTCTTCAATTAAAGCAACTATCTGTGTTGTGTTTTGAGCATGTAATCTTTTATAATTATGTATATATTTATATCCTGTAAATTTTTTTGGAATGATTATAACAACATATTCACTGTATATACCAGCATATAAGTTGAAAAAATCTTTCTTAATTAACTAGAGTTCAGTTTATTCAACAGATATATAAAATGCAAATTTTTATCACAGAATTGTAATCAAGTAGAACAGATCTTCTAACAACCATAATACAGTGGTACCTCAGGTTACGAACGCCCCAGCATACGAAATTTTCAGGATACGACATGAAATTCGAACATATTTTTGCTCCACGATACGAACAAAAACTCACCATACGACGTTACATTAGTTCGCATTTTTCATTTGTTTTTCTTACTACAGTTATTTTTTTAA